GGGTTTAGGGTGTTAGGGTGTGCCTGAGGAGTTGGGGGTTTACGATTGCGGGTCAAAGGGTTGGGGTCCTGGGCAGAGGAGTGTCATCACTCTTTGAAGGAGTTTCTAGGGTTACGTTTTTACAGCGCTTTGGGACTTACCTTTGGTTAGTAGGGAATGGAGGAATGGTGGTAATAGCAGTTATAATTGTACCCCATTCCTCCATTCCCTACTAACCAAAAGTAAGCATAGATCCTTTATAGTCACCCTTATAGACCCCCTTAAAGGGAACCCTACCATTCCCCACTAACCAAAGGAAAGCAAACCCTAGGCCCTAAACCCTAGGCCCCTTTCAATCCCTATACCCTAAACCCTAAACCCTGAACCTAAACCCTAAACCCTGAACCCTAAACCCTGAACCTAAACCCTAAACCCTGAACCCTAAACCCTGAACCCTAAACCCTAAACCCCTTTTGGGGAAGGAAGTTAAGGATTCGGAATGTAATGCGGTCGGGCCAAAGGATTTAAACGCTGAGGTCAAGACTTCGGGTTTGAGGGCCGAAGCCTCGGAGATCAAATGATTATGATACAGGGCTTTGAGTTTAGGGATTAGGGTTTAGGGTTTAGCGTTTTGGGGTTTAGGGTTTAGGGTTTAAGGGTGTAGGGTTTAGGGTTCAGGGTTTTAGGTGGTTTCACGATTTGGCACTAAAGGTGCTCCAACTGCTCTCAGCTGAGCCGCTGCTGCTTTCATCTCCTTCTTGTCCTGCAGAAGGCTGAAGCTTTAGGGCTTCAGATCCAGGCTGGGGGGAATCAGGGCTCTCATGGTTCTTTTAGGGTTTATAGGCTGAGGGGTTTCAGATATCGTGCTCTCAGGGTTCTTTTAGGGTAAAGGGCTTTAAGGTTTAGGGTTTAGGGTTTGGGTCTTGGCAGCTTGTAGGATATATCCAAGCCAAATGAACCCAAAACGCCTGGGGGCCGAGAAAACATGCTGGACGCCACACGACAACCCCACCCCGACCCCGAAGGACCGAATATGAACTCACGTCCGATGGACAGTGATTGTCATATTATGTCGTTGAGGGTCTAGGGCTTAAGGTTTAGAGCTTAGGGTGCTTCTCAACATGCACGATGGCTTCCAGCAAGTCATCAATGCAAGATGGCCTCTTTGCACATGTGCTTCGTTTTTTGCATGCACGTCGATGTACAGTGCTTGAGCTTGAGCCATGGAACCTAGCATGGTGTAGCTACCGGTTTAGGGTTTAGGGTATTCGGAGGTTCGGGTGACCGCTGGAACAACGACAAGTTCGGAGAATGCGAAGGGATTTACAGCCTAGGGTTTCTGGTAAACAGTGTTAAGCTGCTGAGGGGCCTGCAGGCATAGGGGTCACCATTTAGGGGCGCAGACTGAAGTTTGGGCCTAATGCGCTTGGTGTGCAAGCGGTTTTTGCCATCGCGATGCCATGTTCAAGCCCGAAATCTACAGGAACCCTTACAACACACAACCCTGAAAGAGAAGCAATCAATGCATACCACATGTGCGCATCAACGCGAAATTAACTCAAACAAAAACCTACAGCACCCCATGAAAGCAGGGGATCATAAGCTGCTTCTCACTTTTGCGAAGAATCGTCTGCTACACATCGCTCAGCTGATCCTGTACCGTGCTGCTGTAGCCACCATGCTCGGCATTGCCCCAGGTGACCACAGATCCATCACTCAGGATTGCCGCAAATGCACCAGCAGAAGATTGGACCTGCTGCACATCTCGCAGCTGGTGCTGTACAGCGCTGCTGTCGCCACCAAGCTCGGCACTACCCCAGGTGACCACAGATCCATCGTCCACGATTGCCGCAAATGCACCAGCAGAAGCTTGGATGTGCTGCACATCTCGCAGCTGATCCCGCACCGCACCGCTATCGCCACCATCGTCGGCATTGCCCCAGGTGACCGCAGATCCATCGCCCCGGATTGCAGCGAATGCACAGTGAGAGGCTTGCATCTGCTGCACATCTCGCAACTGATCCTGTACCGCACTGCTGTCGCCACCGCAAGCGGCGTTGCCCCAGGTGACCACAGATCCATCGCCCAGGATTGCGGCAAAGGCCTGCGGGGAAGCTTGGATCTGCTGCACGTCTCGCAGCTGATCCTGGACGGCACTGCTGTCGCCACCCCAGCCGGCACTACCCCAAGTGACCACAGATCCATCACCCAAGATTGCCGCAAACGCACGTTCAGAAGCCTGGATCTGCTGCACATCTCTCAGCTGAGCTTGTACCGCACTACTGTCGCCACCGCGGCCAGCGTTGCCCCAGGTGACCACAGATCCATCACCCAGGATTGCAGCAAATGCACCTGGAGAAGCTTGAATCTGCTGCACATCTCGCAGCTGATCCCGTACCGCACTGCTGTCGCCACCACTTCCGGCATCACCCCAGGTGACCACAGATCCATCACCCAGGATTGCCGCAAAAGCACCAGCAGAAGCTTGGATCTGCTGCACATCTCGCAGTTGATCCTGTACCGCACTGCTGCCACCACCACAAAAGGCATTGCCCCAGGTGACCACAGATCCATCGCCCAGGATTGCAGCAAATGCCTGCATAGAAGCTTGGATCTGCTGCACATCTCGCAGTTGATCCTGTACCGCACTGCTGTCACCACCACAGGAGGCATTGCCCCAGGTGACCACAGATCCATCGCCCAGGATTGCAGCAAATGCATAACGACAAGCTTGGATCTGCTGCACATCTCGCAGCTGATCCTGTACCGCACTGCTGTCACCACCACAGGAGGCATTGCCCCAGGTGACCACAGATCCATCGCCCAGGATTGCAGCAAATGCATAACGACAAGCTTGGATCTGCTGCACATCTCGCAGCTGATCCTGTACCGCACTGCTGTCACCACCACAGGAGGCATTGCCCCAGGTGACCACAGATCCATCGCCCAGGATTGCAGCAAATGCATAACGACAAGCTTGGATCTGCTGCACATCTCGCAGCTGATCCTGTACCGCACTGCTGTCACCACCACAGGAGGCATTGCCCCAGGTGACCACAGATCCATCGCCCAGGATTGCAGCAAATGCATAACGACAAGCTTGGATCTGCTGCACATCTCGCAACTGATCCTGTACCGCACTGCTGTCGCCACCGCAAGCGGCGTTGCCCCAGGTGACCACAGATCCATCGCCCAGGATTGCGGCAAAGGCCTGCGGGGAAGCTTGGATCTGCTGCACGTCTCGCAGCTGATCCTGGACGGCACTGCTGTCGCCACCCCAGCCGGCACTACCCCAAGTGACCACAGATCCATCACCCAAGATTGCCGCAAACGCACGTTCAGAAGCCTGGATCTGCTGCACATCTCTCAGCTGAGCTTGTACCGCACTACTGTCGCCACCGCGGCCAGCGTTGCCCCAGGTGACCACAGATCCATCACCCAGGATTGCAGCAAATGCACCTGGAGAAGCTTGAATCTGCTGCACATCTCGCAGCTGATCCCGTACCGCACTGCTGTCGCCACCACTTCCGGCATCACCCCAGGTGACCACAGATCCATCACCCAGGATTGCCGCAAAAGCACCAGCAGAAGCTTGGATCTGCTGCACATCTCGCAGTTGATCCTGTACCGCACTGCTGCCACCACCACAAAAGGCATTGCCCCAGGTGACCACAGATCCATCGCCCAGGATTGCAGCAAATGCCTGCATAGAAGCTTGGATCTGCTGCACATCTCGCAGTTGATCCTGTACCGCACTGCTGTCACCACCACAGGAGGCATTGCCCCAGGTGACCACAGATCCATCGCCCAGGATTGCAGCAAATGCATAACGACAAGCTTGGATCTGCTGCACATCTCGCAGCTGATGCTGTACCGCACTGCTTTCCCAACCTTGGGTGGCAAGGTCCCAGGTGACTACAGATCCATCTCCCAGGAGCGCGGCGAACGCAGAGAACCCACAGAATGACCTTGTGAGGGCTCTCAGCTGGACTTGGTTCACATGCAGGGTGAGCACGTCTCCGCTCCTCAACTTCGCTTCTGTGACAGTCTGTGCTCCGTCAAGCACCTCCCCAGAAGAATTCAGCAGCCTTCCTCTACCAGTGGCCAGGGCACTCTGCGCACGTTGCTTCAATGACTCAACGGATGCATCCGCCTCCACTTCCATAGAGGCACGCTTGCCACTCAGCAGATGCACATGCACAGGAAGCGACATGATGCTTCGCAGAGTGGTCGCTTGACGCAAACCCAAAGACCCTTTATCGAACCCTTCGAGAGGCAGAACGATGTTCCAGAACCCTGTCGAGCCCCAGCAGAGAAACGCAAGTCTTCCCACATCTTCCAAGCTAGGAGAACTCCTGCAAAATCGATTCGGCAGATATTTTGGGGGTTCCATACCCCAAAACCTATTCTAATTATGAAGGCTCCTATATTATGGGGAGGCTAGGACTTATCTAAACCCTAATTGCTGCCCCACACAGGCGGTTTTGGGGGTCTGGCTCCACCCCAGAGACCCTGAAGCCCCTCATAAAACATATGGGAGTTTCCGAAAATAGGTAGGGTTTAGGGTTTAGGGTTTAGGGTTTAGGGTTTAGGGTTTAGGGTTTAGGGTTTAGGGTTTAGGGTTTAGGGTTTAGGGTTTAGGGTTGAGGGGACCCTATAGTACCCCGAATAGTAGGATCCGGTTTATAGGGACCCCAAAATAGCCTAAACCTGGCCTACACATTCCGAAGACTTCACACCCCCACCCGCCGCCCTACACCCCGAAGACCAATCCCTAACACCCTGAAGCAATTAAACCCTCAAGAAAACCACAAAAATTCTACTCTAATGTTCAAGGCCTTTCAAGGTCTCTATGATTACCCTTCAACAAACCACAGAACCGCAAACCCTAACCCCCTAATTCTTAATCCTAATCCCCAACGCGTTGACTCTAAAGCTTAACCCCTCTATAGGAGCCCTTAAAGAAACCCTAACTTAACAGAAGCCCTTATGCAGGGTTTTGGGTTATACAGGGGCCTTAATTAGATTAGACTATGCTCTTGGAGTATACTTCCCAAAGACTTTGGGTCCTTCACCGTGCGCTTGCACCACTGGGTGTAGTTCAGAGGCGTCGTCCCCACTGCAAGGATATCATCCTGCCACTGAGAACTTAGGGTTTACTACTTGCAGCTCAGGGCCTTTTCTGTGGGATCCATGGTGTGTCGGTAGTATTATTTGATAGACTACCCCTTCTGAGCCCTACTTCTGGCTCTCTTAAAAGGAACCTTATTGAGAGGGTCTTTATCCCCAAGGGTCCCCTCAATCCTAACTCCCACACTTTTAGAGTCTCGCTTTTCGAGGCTTTCTCTGACTCCTGAAGGTGGCACTTGAACAAGTTCGCTTCCCAGGCAAATGAAATCCAAGGTCGCTGGGATTGTTTTTGGGACCACTAACCCAAAAGTACGTGGGTTTTTCAGCCGTGGATGTTGAATGCGGCTTCAAGCCTGTTGTTCCTTACGTTTCGGTTTTGGGGCTTTCTGGGTGCAAAGAGCCCTCCACCCCCGAAGCGCGAAGCCTCATACTATGTAGCAGCTCTTTAAAGCTTACGGGATAAAAAAAATTGGAGTTTCGGTGTGAAAATATAGAAATTGGAGATTTAGGTTTTAGGGTTTGGACTTGCCGGTTTTGGGTTGGATGCAGAGAAGGAGCTATCCGAATTGCCGCCACGCTTTTTAGAACCTGCACATCAAGTCCCCTGAGCCTCTGAGTAGGGCCTGCAGGAATTTGCACAAAGCTTTGCCTCAAATCTTTCACCAAGCTCAAGCGTATCGTCATCTGCATACACCCAGAGACTCCAATATCCCTTAATTAAGGAATATTCCTTAAATCATATTAGGGATCCTACTATAATTTAAGGTATATTCCTTAATTAAGGGATTGGAGTCTCTGGGCAACGTAGTACCGCGGACGTCACTCCCACTCCAAGAGCATCCTAAGTACCTCCGCAGGAGACTCCGGCGCGCAAAATTACGTTGAAACTCTCATGCTAGAAGAGATTTGGGAGTTTCCGACAATAGGGGACCCTGATGTAGCATCCCTAGATAGTAGGATCCTTATAAGAAGGACCCCTCAGAAGAAGGTACCCCCTGATTTTCGGACACTCCCATTTATGCAGGGCTCGGGGCATGGGCTGCCCAAACCCTGAACACTTCCCAGAGACTCCAATATCCCTTAATTAAGGAATATGCCTTAAATCATATTAGGGATCCTATTATAATTTAAGGTATATTCCTTAGTTAAAGGATATTGGAGTCTCTGGGACTTCCTGCAACCGAAGTCACCAAAGCAAAACCACCGCAGGACCCTAAAGACATGAAGATCTTCAATTGAGTTGTCCTTTAAGCCCCTTGCCCGTTTTGAAAATTATCTACCATTACGGTTCTCTACAAAAGGGGAGGGGGAAATTAAAAAAGGTCCCAAAGGACAACCCAGTCAAGCAGGGGGCCGAAGACCTCAGCTTCGACTGATCGATACCACCTCCAGTCGCACTGCTGTACTACAGTCTATCCTAAACCCCTGACCCTAAACCCTAAACTTGTAAAACCCTAAACCCCTAAACCCTAAACCCCTAAACCCCTAAACCCTAAACCCCGCCTAAACCCTAAACCTTTAAACGCTAAACCCCTAAACCCTGAACCCCGAACCCTCTTAGTCATCCCTGCCTTTGGGGGCGTGCAGGTGGGCTCGGCTTTGATCCACTCCCAGGTCTCGGAGCCTCGTGCATGCTGCTTAGCTCATGCTTATCTGATGCACTTTCATTGTCGCGCTTTGTTTCTGTATTATGTGTAGAAAAAGATAGATAGATAGATAGATAGTGGTTTATGGGAGGGGCGCAGAGTGGTTTAAGGCCTGGGGATTGCGGTTTCTGATTATTTGAAAGTTTAGGGCTTTCGATAGTTGTGTGCGTTTCAGAGGGGCCCGTGTAACTCAGGGTTTGGGACTTCGCTGCTGAAGCTGCACACGGCCTCGTGTTCTGGGCTCAAGGAACGTCGGAAGGCTGTTCTGCGTTAGGGTTCCTCTCCAGGCGCCTAAAGTATCCTACCAGCAGATGAATACCAAAAAGCCCCCAGAAGGAATCACAGCTTAGCTCAACGAGTCTTCAACACCACCTTTATCAAGGCGTGAGGCTCCCATGAACGCAGCCAACCCCGATGATGCTCGACTGTTGGAGGTTGCATGGGCTTAGCCGAATACGGGTGTGAGGAGGTCCCAGCGGACTTCGGATCTAGGATTTAAGGTTTAAGTTTAGGGTTTTGGGTTTTGGGTTTGGGATTTAGGATTTAGGTTTAGGGCTTAGGATTTTGGATTTAAGGTTTAGGGTTTAAGACTCTTAACTCTGAGGAAAAGCAACGTACCACAAGAGACAGGCAAGGCCCACTGAGCAAAATCAAACCTTGAAGCTCTCCCACAAAAGGAAAAAATCCAGAGAAGCGTCGTCAATGCAACCACGCAGTTGTCAAAACGAAGCATTGAAACCAAATACCGGCTCATCTTGGTCATACCCATCATCACCACCGTCACCATAAAGATCATCAGCAAGATCAGCAGCAGCAGCCGCAGCAAAAGTACAAGCATATACCGTCACCGTCATAGTCACCACCATCGACAACAACAACACCACCACAATCGTCGTCATCATGATCCATTTCATTGCGGGCCCAAGCACAGTCGATTGTACCAGCACGGGAGTGACAATCGTCAGAAAGAGTATTGCCGACAGTCTAACCGCAAGATACTACTCTAGGGGCCCTGAACCGAGATGCGACCTGGCTCAGAAACCCGAAATTAAACCAAAAAAAAAAAACGACAACAGGTCGCACCCTAAACCGCAAACCCAAACGCCTACACAAGAAAATGGAAACATGTGGGTGGTTGTCAACATTATAGTCCCTTTTTGGTACCCTAAATATTAGGTGCCGTATTATAAGGGACCCAAAAAGGGACCCTAAGTTTGACAACCACCCATGCGTGGGGAAGGCCATGCTCGCCTCCGTTTTTGCTCACGTTTCCCCAGAAGAGGTCTGCGATGCCCTCGCGGATTCCCTCCTCCACCCCTGCGGTCGGTACGTGTCTGGGGGAGTCGGTTTTTAGGGTTTGGGGTTTAGGGCTTAGGGTTTAGGGTTTCGGATCTCAGTTTCTGGGCTTAGAGCTAGCATTCGGGGCTTCACTATTTCGGGGCTTCACTGTTTCCATAAGCGCAGGAAAGATGAGCACAATTGACTACTACCAACACAAACAGCAACAGTTACAATAGCCGGGGTTAGCATTGAAAGCCATAATGGTGCGTCTAAGAGTCTCGCTCACATTCTGGATTCATGGCGGCTACTGTTTGACAGCGACAAACTTGCCGCGATGATCACTGTCGTAGCAACCATCAAAGACATATTATGCCAAATCACGATACCGATAGAAATAGAAGGCCCTCCCGAAGCCCGCAGCAAACAAAGGTGCTGGCAAAGCAAGGTTGAGGAAGGGGACATCCTAAACCTATACCTCGTCGGGCGAATTCAGTTACAGCCCAGGTTTTGCCCTGACGCCTGAATGCAGCCCGTACCTTCAGATACTGAAACCCTGAACCTGATGGAACCTGGTAAAACCCTGCGCTCGAAATTCTGCAAGTATATACCTCAAAGCATTTGTACAGAACATCCTTCAACATGACGGAAAGGAAGTGGGACACTGTAGCTTCCAATTGAAACCACTCTGACCCGGCCTTTCATCTGCACGCTATCTGACTGAATCACAGTCTTGTTGACATCGAAATGCAGTAGTAAAGGCACCTCGGAACGCGCGAGAGGGCTCAGACTTCGAGGTTTAGTGTTTACAGCTTAGCGTTGCTCCCATAAAAGTCCGTCTGAACCGAAACTAAACTCGAACAACTGCTTGCAAGCGCGGGGCTTAGGGTAAGTTGGCTTCGGTGTGGGTTTTGTCGGGATTCCGGGATTGAGGGCTCAGGGGACGTGGGTTCATTGGTTCACGGTTTGGGCTTGGGGGTTCGGACACAGGGTTTAAGGTTTAGGGTTTAGGGCTTAGGGTTTATGGGTTTAGGGGTTTAGGGCTTAAGGGTTTGGGGCGGCTTGGGGTATAGGGCAGAGGGTGTTGCAGGGATGGACTTGGAGGCGATTTAAAAGATCTTATCATAGGAACCATCTTTAAAGCATCCCTACAAGGATTCCTTTACAGTCATTCAAGGATCCTTGAAGGGACATACTAAATTCCAACGGTTGGTTAAGACGGGGTGAGCTACCGGATCGATACTTTGGGCACTTAGGCATTTAATCTCCAGGTTTACAGTCTATACCGCGTCGTGCTTGCTGAATGCATCTGGAAAAATAGCAAGTAGGCTATTGCTGGGGCTGTATGTACCCTACTTGGAGTGATCCCCCAAACCCTAGACCCTAAACCCTGACCTACTACGCTCCCCCAGCGTTCCAGCAGTGCTGCTTTTAGTAACTCGTCCAAGAAACCCACAATTCCTGAACCCCTTGACCCTAGAGCCTTAAACCCTCAACCCTACAAACCCCACAGCCCCACAGCCTAAGCTCTCAAGCCCTGAACTCTGCACCCAAGACCCCCGACGTTGCACGTAAGCAGATGTGCTTACAGAGTTTGGGGGTTTAGGTTTAGAGTTTACTGACTTTGGGTTGAAGGTGTGCGCTTCTGCCGCCTTGCATGGGGCACAAGCTTCGACTCAAAGGATCAAGGAAGCAGCTCCGACAGTCTCAAACCCGGGCGCCAAAGCTGCTGGTTTAAGAGCTTAAGGGTTTAGGGTTCAGGGTTTAGGGTAAGAGCCTAAAAGTTGAAGGTCTGAAGGCTTAGGGGCTAAGGGTTAGGGAGTCGGTCCATCAGGCTCTGAAGTAGGATCCGACACTATGTAGCGCTGTCCGCCTAGTCGGACCGAGTCGGGCCTACTGTTCTGGAAGGATCAATCAAAGGGGAAAAGAAGGGACCCTTTCTTAATGGGGACCCCTACCCTAAAATGGGCTATATAATGGGCATATAATAGCTATATCAAGGGTATATATCTAGGGGTCCTTTTAAGGGTCCCTCCAGTTACCCTTGGAATCAACTTACTGTAGGACAGCTCTGCTTAAGGGACCTCTCACCCGAACCATAAACTAGTTCCTTTGTCGCCTGTTCCTGTAACATCTTGCAGGCCCACAGATTGCGGAACCACAACACGGGTGAAGAAACCTCCGAATAACCCCCGAAATCCCAAACATCCTAAGCACCATGGGCTTTTCTTAATAAGCTAGCTCGTCACGGTTTGCTCAACGGGTTCCCTCAAGGGTCCCAGAACAGTTAGGTTCGGATTGCAAGTTTCTTAAAAAACTCAAGCGAGGCTGGTCGGTGAGCTCCGTGCCGCCGGCTTTGAAGAGCCATCCTGCATCTGGTTTAAAAGCAAATCTTTGAGGATTTCGGTTGGGTCTCATTTTTGCCAGACAGGCCTAAAGTCTTGTCGGATACGACGGTGGCCATGGTGTTTACGGTTTAGGGGATGAGTGACTTGTGCTTCTTAGTTGCTGAGTTCATAAGCCCCAAAAAGTGCACACTTTGGGTTCTATAGTGGGTGATATTGTCCCAAAAAGTGTGAAGCGTATCCACTCAGCTACTAAGGGCTTTATGGGCGACAGGGCGATTCGAGGCTGCAGACATTAAAGCCCAATCCATGCACCCTATTACTGTAGGATTTAGGGTTTAGGGAACCATAAACCTAAACTCGAAAACCGAAAATGCAGCCAGCAAGATGTGAAAACTTCCGAAGGCATCTGAAACCTTCCGGGATGAGAACTCGATCTTCAAAATTCACCACGTGTGTGTACCAAGAAAACTCAAAAGGCTACACGAAAGCTTGATCCCGAAGCACCAGAAACCACAAAGCTCTCAAGTCTCCATGACGCCGTGCAAACCCAAGAACCCCAAATCGTGTCAGCTTGCATCCTACCGGTTTTCGAGCTTAGGGTCTAAGGGCTTAAGGGTCTATTGGTTTAAGGGTTTAGGCGTCAAGGGTTGGTTGAAGCGTTTAGGGCCTTTGAACCCTCATTCCTGCTCGGGTTCGCAGGGGCAAGATACAACGGAATTCCGATGGAGCCACAAAGACAGCTCGTGCCTGCGATCGTCGCGATGGTTTCGAGCTGGACGACCTTAGTGGCTGCTAAGGCAAAGCATATCCCTACACCTTAAAACCTATCCCTAAACTCTAAACCTAAAATTTAAGCCCTTAAACCTCATAGGCGCATGACCTTCTGAGGCTTGGGTTTGGAGTTTGCGGTTTGGAGTGTCTCTTTTGCGGCTGTCGAGGGCCTAAGGTTTAGGGTTTCAGGCTGTAGGGTTTAGGGTTTGGGAATTTAAGGTTTAGGGTTTAAGGCTTTAGGGTTTCGGGTTTTGTTCAGGGCTTAGGGTTTAAGGCTTTAGGGTTTAGGGTTTAAGGCTTCAGGGTTTAGGGTTTTGTTTAGGGTTTAGGGTTTTGGGATTTAGGGTACCCAGGCTCGAACTGCCTGGATTTTCAACTGACTTGCAGCAACGAAAAGCAAGCAAGGCGAGACAACACCGCCCTTCACGGGCCTGTTACAAACCTCAGCACTCACCGTGCAACCCCGCATCCCAAGCCACAAAATCACCGGTTTCAGCACCTGCTGAAGGGCCTCAACACTATTAGCTACATAATGATACCAACAACAAGAACAATCAAAAGAATAACAACAACAATAACCATATCAAAAAATCAACCGTAACAGAAACAACTACAAATGCTACAACTACTAATAGAAATATTGGAAATACTAACTGTCATAATTTTAATTGTCGCTTAAATTCATATATTGCAATGCACATGAAGAATCTAGAGCCTCGAAGATCTTTGAATGGCAGAAATTCGTAGCACTGATAGGAGTGATCGTAATGATATCATGATGGCCCGGATAACCGCCCACAAGCATGACAGCCGTGACAATCCTACGGACAGCTATGATGGCGCTGTTGGCGGTTGGTCCTGACTAAAACGGCACATGGACCTCAGGACTCCGAAACTTGGACTCGAAACGAATAGGAATCCATGCCCTCGCAGCAAATCAAAGCTTGAGGCTCTTGCGGGCTTCAAGATGGACTTCTTGGTTTCGGGCTCAATGTCGCGGCTCCAGGGCTTAGGGCTTGGGGATCAGAGTTTTGCATGGGGGGGCTGAGGGTTTAGGGTTTAAAGTTTAGGGTTTAGGGTTCAGGGCTGAGGGCTGGGATACCGCGGTCTGTGCCCTTCTGGGGTTCATGCTTGCCCGTGCCCGAAGTGCAGAACATGGCCTCAGCTGCAGGCAGATCGGTGGGCTTGCAGCAGTTTTTGAAGAGTTGAGATTGGAAGTTTTTATTAAAAAAAAATAGAGGTGTTTATAAAAACCTCTATGCAAGACGTTGGTTGCAGCAGGATTTGAAGAGTTGAGATTGGAAGTCCACCAGCCTGGACCCTTAACCCCCAAAAACCAAGCCTAAGAAGCCAAGACCCTAAGCCTAAATTGCACAGGGATGAGCCGCTAACTCGCTGTAGAAGGCTAACGGCATGCTGAAAGCGTCAGGAGCCGTTTTAAGTTGGCTCTGAGGAGGAAATAACCCAATTAAGGTACTTAGACGTTCTAAACTGCTGCTTAATGAGGGTGGGTTGATTATTTACAAGGCCTGCAACAACTACTGCTGCATGTCTCTGCGAGCTTGTGCTTCAAGAAACTGGAACCATGGCCACGTGTCTGAGAATCCTACATGCCAGCACACCTCAACACAGATCCACACTGAACCCTATGCCCCAAACACCTCCAATCCAAAACCAGCAAGGTGGCTTCCGCTTTCGAGCTTGCGGTTACAATCACAACACTGTGCCTCCGGATGAGGGCCCTGGCTGCTGCCTCAAAACTTATTCAAAGTTGGTTCCTTCGGGTCTTCGGGTGTTGCGATCAAGGTAATGATCAAAGCTGACCGAGGCGCCGACCTCAACTCTTAGCCACGGATGCACACTCGGGAGTGAAACAAAGAAGGGTCCCCTTGTCTACCCTAGAAACTCGTTGCGCTCGTTGCTGAAGGATCCTATGAGTAGAGGGGCCCTAAACGGGGACCCACCCCAGACTAGATGCCCCGACACTGCACACCGGCAATTCTACTTGGCTGCATGTCTTCACATGCGCTCAGAATGCCGTGAGGATGTTGGGTTCAGCTGTGTTTCAACTGCGGCAAAACTAAGCCAACGAGAGGAGGTCTCGAGCAAAACGGCGATCCAAGCATACTTGCAGCTTCTCACGAAATACATTGAAGCACAGGAAAAACAAATGAATACCACTGACAGCAGAAAACCCTGATCCTTAAACTTAGGTTTAGAGCTTCGGAATATCTTGGCTTCACGGCGAAGGTCCGACGTTTTCCTGAAGGCGTCTTGGACGGAAAAGCCCTACAACTGAGTTGTCGAATGTTTAGGGTTGAGGGCTTAGGGTTTTAGGGTTTAGGGTTCAGATTTTGTACCCCACCCAAAGGTGGTTGGATGGGACGACAGCATTAATGATCATGATGACGGTCATGCTGGTGATGGCGATAATGTAACAGAACATCTGTGGAGATGATCGGGATGGAGCTCCTGAACGCAGTCATCGTCGGCATCATCACCACCATCATCACCACTAGCATCACCACCATCAAGAACAGAATGATTACCATCATCGCTGCCAGCAGCAACGTCACCATCTCCATGAATCACATCACGGAACCATCCCGGACTCTCGACGGCCTTCCTTGGGACGAGCAGGCAAGGGCAGCGCTGGTTACAAAAATGCATTCCTGCATTGCGCAAACTGTGAAGGTGCAGGAGGTGGGCATAGTCGCTGCTGACGAGGCCACGGTGCTTGACATCGAAACCGAAGGGCAAGATGGATGCTATCGTGTCATTCAGAATGAGAATGCCGAGATTTCGAGGCCATTCCTTGACCCGGCTTGATTGCCTGCACTGTGCTCAGCAGACCAAGGATTTCTTGTCAGAACTGGTCTTCTTCCACAGTTACTGTGGAGATCTTGGTGGGCTGCTACGGAGCCCAAGGACTTGGGCAAGGCGACTAGTTACTATCACCAGGGTTGCTCAATGTTGTATAGCAGGAAGCCAACACACAGACACTTTTGCGCAAGCATTCGAATCGGTCGCCAAGCAGATGCGACTGTCTCCGTTGCCTGGCACAGTCAAAATCAAGGGCCTTCTACCCTCAAGCCTGCTCCAAAACGGGAAACCCTAGTCCATAAACCTTGAACCGCGACGTCGATGCTGAACCCCGAAGCTGTGCGAAGTTCCCGCTACGGGCTTTGGGTGAAGTGAGGCTTCCGCGCTTCAAACTTCAACAGCGGAGGTCGGGAGCTGCGTTCGTGGGACTTGTGGGATCTGGCAAGCTTCTTTTGGCTTGTAAGGGTTTTGGGTTTAGCAGCGTGCTTTAGCCCGGAAGCCACTGGGGTCTACGGTTTGGGTGGGGCTTACTTCAAGGATCCCACGATGACAAGTACCTTAATCGGAGCTGTCCTAATTGCAATTCCGCTGCACAATCGCTGTACGACTATTCCACGCGCAAATCCAAAACGGTCCAGGACTGCATTTTCCGATCATGAGCAAGGATGCCGTCAAGCACAGTTTGCAATGCCAACCTGCACGGCCTTCTCTCCCAGCGCCCTGCGTCACGTCAGCCGCTACTCCCGAGCATCCTAGGCCCCATACCTGCCTCACGTCTTCCCCTAAGCCCAAAACCCCGAACCCCTAAACCCTTTCCAAGGATCTGTGGGCATTCACTACGATTGCTGGGAGGAGCTTGACCACTTCGGTCGACTACTGAGGCGGTTGGAGATCTACGCGGACGCGTTTGCGCCCGGTGGACAACGCCTATTAAGGCAAGCCCGCATCAAGGACAGGCGTCAGGCGGTTATGAAGACTCTTAGAGTCCATACCCGGCCGTCACGCAGTCTTATCCTTCGCATGCGACAACGGTTTTAGGGTTTAGGATGGAGGGTATACTAAGGCACCTAAATAATAATCTTGTCTATCATTCCGACCCCTACTCTATCATGAGGCGAGCCTGTTTGCATAAAGAAACCGAAACGACGTAGTATTCGCATCTACTCCGCAACTTCTTTTAAGTTGCGGAACTCGAGCTTTCCGGCTCAGGTACCAACAGTCCACTCATAAGAGATTACCAATGTCAATCTGGGAACCCAGAGAGCCCAATACCCCTTAATTAAGGACTATAGCTTAAATCATAATATGAAGCCCTATATATGTTAAGCCACATTCCTTAATTAAGGGGTATTGGGCTCTCTGGGAAAGGCAAACAGCTCCCGAGGCAACAAGAAACATGGCCAGCGCTTGGCACCGAGTCTTTCACATGCAGCACCGATCGGTGTCACCGGCGCATGCGATCACGCCGCAGGGGCGCCGCAAGGGCCGCATGGGGCAGCTCTGTGGTCGTTCCAGAAAGAGTCGGTCCAAAGGATGCTGCTCACGAGTTCCATCTTCCACTGCCTGAAGTCTGCACTTGCACATGGCTCGCAAGCAGTCCTGCAAAAGGGAATGGAAGAACGAGAAAACAAAATTATGGGTTCATCTTTGGGGTTTCCCTTTTATCTGTTCAAGAGACCAAAAACTCGCAATAACTCGCATCTCCTGCAGAGGTTCAACTGGATCCTTTCCACGCGGAGCCATCGGGCTGTCGTGCTCTGAGCTTCCAGGCGGAGCTGAGAAGGCCTCCCTGATGTCTCGCGAGGAAAAATGACACGCCTTCATATCCCCTGCGGAGTAGCCAGACGTTTTCAAGTCTTGAAGTGTGAACCCGGAGTCATGTAAATCGGCCGGTGAGAAACCGGCCTCCCTCAACTGTTTAGCCGAGATGTTCTCCTGTCTCAACTCTTCGGCTGAGAAGCCAGCCGATTTCAAGTCTGCAACTGAAAACTCCTTCAACTCTGCGACTCGGAAGGAAGCCCTTCGCAACTCTCTGAGAGAATACGCCTCCTTCAACTTCTTGGCCGAGAAGCCAGCAGCTTTCAGCTCGTGGACGGTGTAGTGCGCTGTCAAAGCTTTAGGTCGGAAACCAAGCCCGGTCAAATCTTCGAGGGTGTGGCCCCCCTCAATGAGCTCTGCCACTCTTTGAGAATCCTTTATGCTGCTAGATCGAGGCGTTGAGGGTGGAGTTGTTGACATGAAATCCTGCATCTCTATGAAGAGGACTTTGAAGCCGGCCCAGCTTAAAGCGGTGTCTGCAAACTGCGCCTCCTTCATCTCACCATATGTGAAACCCGCCTCCTGGAACTCGTGCAGCGGGAAGACACCCTTCAGCTCACGGGCTGAGAACCCCGCCTCTTTGAGTTCGGGAAGCGAATAATGAGCTGCCAGGCATTGATCGAGACTGAGATGGATTCCTGCCTGCAAAAGTTCCACAATTGAAAAACCCGTGCATCTCAGCGTTTCGAGTGAGAAGCCAGCAGCCTCAATCTCATTGATGGAGAACCCTGCCTTTTGCAACTCAGTAGGCATGTAACCTGCCTCCTTCAACTGGGCAGCTGAGAGGCCAGCCTCCATCAACTCCACTGCCGAGAAGCCATCATGCTTCAGTTCTCGGAGTAAGAAGCCGCCACGTTCGATTTCCATGAGAGAGAAACCTGCCTGTTTCAACTCCCTCGATGAGTAGCCTGCATTTCTTAGCGTTCTTGGAACAAAATCAGCCTGCTTCAAGTCCCTGAGGGACACACCAGCATCTTGAAAATCCGGCTTTGAGAAGCCTGCCTCCTTCAAATCCCTCAATGACAGCCCGCTGCACATACTGCACGTGAATGTCTGTATGGACAAACCTGCCTCTTTCAGCTGCTTCGGCGAGAAACCAGCGTTTCGCAACTGTGCGCATGAGAAGCCGGCTTCTTTCAATTGTCTAGCTGTGAAGCCAGCATCCTTGAGCTCCCCTGGTGAGGAGCCAGCAACGATCATCGTTCCGGCTGCGAAGCCGGCCTCTTTCAACTGCTCCTGCGAGAAACCAGACTTTTGCAACTCGTGACATGAGCAGCCTGCCCGCTTCAATTCCGTCGCTGTGAAGCCCGCCCCTTTCAGCCTTTCCAGCGAGACGCCAGCAACCATCATTCTCTTGGCTGTGAAACCAGCTTCTTTCAACTGCTGGCTTGAGCACTTCGCCTCGAGAAACTGTGCCGGGGTAAACCCCGCAGCGCCCAACTCTCTCATTGTAAATCCGGCCTTAAGCAGGCTTCTCAGCGAAAAGCCAGCATCTCTCATTTGCTTGCCTGTGAAACCAGCGTTTTTCAACTGCTTGTCTGTAAAGCCGGAATCTTGTAGCTGTTGCGCTGAGAAGCCAGCAACTTTCATTTTGACGGCTGTGAATCCCGCTTCTTTCATTTCCTTCACCGAGCATTTTGCCAAGAGAAACTCTGGAAATGCGAAGCCCGCACGATAGAGTTCTTTGGCTGTGTAACCAGCTTCTTTGATCTCTTTGAGATTGAAACCGCGCTTCACCAACAAATCCGCGCTTGTGAGCTTCCCCAGCGATGACCGTGATTCTCTCAAAGCAACGATCGCACGCATGCCAACCTCGGACACGACCACGAACCTATTCAGGTCAGGAGGTCCCCTGCGGCACAGAGACTGTGGCAAACCCCGTGGCAAATGAGTTTGATTATCATTGCAATATAGGATATAGTTTGTACATATAACTATATATATATATACATATACATACATATATATATATATGCATTTATATGTACATATATATATATATATATATATACATATATATATATATATATATATATGTTGTGTGGGTGTGTGTGTGTGAGATGCCGCCAGTCTCCACACCGACAAACGAGCCATGAACAAGCATGGCTTGATGCTCTGTGGTTCTTTGAGCCGCTGAAACTTCGTGAGGCGCAGATTCACCTAGACCGCCGCGTGATTAAGATAGGGTTTGGGGGCCCAGTATACCATAACTATAATAAGGAACCTCCCAAAATAGTATAGGTAATCATTTAGGCCCCTATACTACTCTCTGGTTTTCTGGCCTTTGGGGACCGTGGGCTCACATAGTCAAAGCGATCCACGATGGAGATATTATAGCAATCTTCTTGAAGCAAGGATAGAGCTCCAAGTTTGATTCACCCATTCATTCGATCATGAATCAAATAACCTGTCATTGAAATGGTGTGTAGACATCTTGCAAGCAATGGCCTTCAGTGCATGAGATTCCTGCAACTTCCTGCACCTTTTTGGGCCCTGACCAAGAACATGGAAGTATAAGACTCTCGTGTCAGAATCAGAACCTCAGGCCAGAAGTTTCTGCCCCTCACTGTTTCTGCCAAGGCCTGGTATTTGATTTGTTGATCCTCGGACTTTTCACATTCAGGACAATCCAAGTCCATGGATGCATCCACCACGTCATTGCCTGATCTGGGACTAGGGAACCCTTATCAACCCTGAACCTCTAAACCCAATCCCCACACACTTTGGTTCGGCCTTTACCAAGGCCAGGCTCGGAAGCGGAAGCTTGACTACCTCGGAGACGCAGTGTCGATGTAGGCACGCAGAGCTCCGTTAATTTCATGGGGTGGAGGAACACCGAAACTGGACGTGGTGCAGCTTGGTCATCCTCACCAAAATCTGCAGAATTAGCATCAACAAGAAGCCACAACAACATCCTCATCCTCCTGCGCCTCCGCCCAGTAAGCTGCAACCACTACTTCTGCTGCGAAGCTCGGCTCACCACTACCAGCATCGCAATTCCTATCATAACATATCCGACTACCACCCTTAACCGGCGAAAGGAACCCTTCACCGGACGAGGATGACCAAGAAGTTCCGGGAGCCCTGCATGTGGAATCCGAACACACTAGTAGCTACTTGGATGGTCGGGGGACGTAGTAACTGGTTATTTTAGGGACTTATAAGTACCATAACCCCAATTAGGGTCCCTTTTAGGGTACTTATAAGTCTACTTACTACCTACTTACTAAGTCCCCCGACCCTCCAAGTAGGTGCATGTCATGACATGACCTACCTGGCCAAACAATTCGCTGGCTCAGAACATCACGGGACTCTAGAAGGCTTGTCCAACCCGTGAACCCCCCAAAAAAAACTGATTGCAGGACAAAGGGCTGCGTAGTTTTCGAATCGCAGGAGCTTCGGAACACTACACGCTACGACACCCAAAGCCCTTCAAGCCGAAACCCCTAACCTAATTTCGACACTAAGCCTTCACCCCTTTCAAACCTGAACCCTACAGCAACCCCTCAAATCTCAAGCCAGAATCCAAGGATCAAAGGAGGGACCCTTAGTAAGGACCCCTAGGTATACACCCTTAATATAGCTATGATATACACATTATATAGCCCATTATAGGGTAGGGGTCCCCATTAAGGGTCCCTCCTTTTCCCCTTTGACAGAAGGAAGAACTTCGGAGCCCAAAAAGCCAAGTTGCCTTGGATGTCGCCTTGCTGTCGTCCACATGGCCCTGCTTCTCATAGTCTCAGACTATGCGAATGCAGCAACCATTAGTAGTAGTACTACCAATGATAACACTGAAAGATACACAAGCATCATAGTCATTGTAATCCCTACATCATGTTCAACTATGGTCAAATATTGGTGATTACGCATAACTTCACAGTATGTTGTGCTGTATGTGTTTCAATGCTTTCGGGTGTTGTGGTATGTTCTGGCATCGAGACCCGGGTGCTTCTTGGGTGGCAGTTCACACTGGAGTTGGCCGAGGCCCCCCTCCCGGAGTTCGTGGAAAGCAGAAAGCTTGAGGGCCTGGCACCATCTTTCATTCCGCCCCTCCGACACGATACTCAGCTCTGTCAACACCGGAAAGTCTAGACGCCTAAACCATGACAATTTTGAGTCCAAGTTTCACAGAAGAAACCTGCACAAAGCCGATCTGGTCACCCTCGATACCAACTTCGAAACATTCAGCAGTCTGCATGAAGGAGGAAGAGTGCTGAAGACTCTGTATTTTCCATAATGCCCCATTGGCCAGGGTTCGGGGTTGGAGTAACGGTGAACTGGTTCGGTTGCAATAGTTCCGAACCTGAACCCGGAACCTCAGGCTGGATTAGGGGGGCCCTTGGGGATATAGACCCTCTCAATAAGGCCTCTTTTAAGAGAGCCAGAAGTAGGGTTCAGAAGGGGTACCCTTTAAGGGGTCTCCCTAATAATACTACCTATGGGGTTGGTTAACCAGAACCCTAACCTCAGATCGCAGTTGGGGTTGACTTGAACCCCGAACCTTGGGTTCGGGTTCGAACATCAACATTCCTTACCATAAGTAGGATTTAGAGTACTTTGTTAGGGTCCCCTATTTTCGGAAACTCCCATAGGGTTGAACAAGTTCAGAGTTTCAGGGTTTCCGGCATCATGGATTTAGGGCAGTACAGGAGCTAGAGCCTCGAAGACATGATTGCTTCACGTTTTGCCTGCTTTGCTTGCTCCGCCACTCTCGTGGGTGTAGGGTTTGGGGTGTCGGGTTTAGGGTTTAGGGTTTGGGGTTTCGGGTTAGGGTTTACGGAGATGACTACCACTCCGTGATTTTGAATGTTCACTAGCGTGCGGACCGCGCCGAATGTCATGTAAGTTTAGCCGCGAACCACCCATCTGTGCTGCTGAAGCTTGAGCCCCAAAACAAATGCAGGATGCTTCAACGTCGCATAAGAGACTTCAGGAGAAGTGGAGCTGCATCCTTCAAATTCACCTGCCAGAAAGACGGACCATGCACATGTTGGCAAAACAGCCGTTTTGCTTATTGCAACCTGTAGAGGTTAAAGTTAAAGGATGCAGGTTTCGTTGCGGTGGCATCCGCCTGACATACCAAATTCGTACCACAGACATGACCAGCTCAAGCTGTTGCATAAGGTTTAGGATTTAGGGCTGATGGGAGTCGATATCCGGGAAGCACTAGAAGCAAGCACCAAGCCCGGCTGACCTTGTCACACACTGCGGACGGATTTCACAAGTCCGCATCCTCTTGGATGCTCTGTACAGGACTCCTGTATCTCTGAGGACAACATGAAAGCTCGCCCCTCTGCACTTCAGGACCTCTCCTGAAGATTTTGGAAATAAACCGCGCTGTGGCGGACCAGAGTCCCCAGCTCTTGCTGGGACCTTGAAGGCGGTCTGGTCTCCCGAGCAGCCGCACTCCTACTGGCATCTTGGATTGTCAGACTTTGTTACACCTTCTTCAGTGCTACTACGAAAATACAGTCAGAAATGAATATGGCTTCAAAACCACGCGGCGCTGGAGCACAGCATCTGCTAGGCATCTGACAAGAATTGCCTCTTCGCGCGACGCTCAAACCTAAACCCCAAAATCCCTAAAGCTCCAGCCCTAATCTTCAAACCCTACACCCTAAACTCAAAACTGTCAGCCCTAAAGCCTAAACCCTAAACCCTAGATCCTATACTCCAAACCCTAGATCCTGCACAAGTATTCGTATTCGGTATTGGTATACCCAGACACCCCAATATCCCTTACATAATTTAGGAATATTCCTTAAATCATATTAGGGATCCTACTACAATTTAAGGCATATTCCTTAATTAAGGGGGTATTGGAGTCTCTGGGTACCTATCACCTAAGCCTCGATCTGCTTTTGCAGGCTTCCTGGGCCCCGAGGCTCCGGTGCAAAGGAGCACTGCAAGGGCTTGTAAAAGGGCAGGTGCGCTCCCTGCCGGAACCTGAGAGTCTCCAAAAATTGGGGGACACTTTACTTTCGGGTCCTTACACTAAGGATCCTACTACTTAGGACCTTCACTAGTTCATGGTTGGGATAGGATTAACAATTTATATTATTATTCCTTATTGGGTTTAAGTACCCATAAACATGTAAAAAGATACCCAACTTTGACAAAGGAACTCCTCCACGGTCAGCAAGGACTCGTCGAGGGCTGCCCTTACGTCAGCCTTCTTCGGAGTTGCGCCAGGTTTCGGTACCCAGACTTACCCCAAATCCTCGAACTCGAGACCCATCCTTTTCCACCTAAACCCCCCAGCTGAGGGGTTTAGGGTTTAGGGTTTAGGGTTACTGCATGCCTGAAACCCCCAATCTCTGCACGCCTCCACCATCTCAGCTCCGATGAAGACGATCTCCGTCCGTCGGTCGCCGTGGCGACTCGCCTTGAACTTCTCCGCCTGCGCCGGCCACTGAGCTCTCGGCACCGAGGTGGCGAGCCACCTCGGGTTTCGACAGGGATTTAGGGCTTAGGGCTTGGGGTTGAAAAGGATTTCGGGCTTACGGTTTAAGCTTCGGGTTGCGGTTTAGGCAACTGGGGTATCGAGTGATAGGGTTTCGGGTGTTAAGGAAAGAAAGCTTTACGCTGTAGAGCTCTGCGATGAAACGCTTCGTTCGGCTTTGTGGCTTCTCTCCGACCCCGCAAGGTGGCGCCTGGGCCCCGGCTTGATCTCGCCGATGAGCCCCGCCGAACTCCACTCCACAGCTGACTCGTTGTTCCCGCTGCACCAGAGAATGCCTTTGGAGCGCAGCATGCCCGGAAAGGAGAATTTCTGAAGCATGGTCGCCAGGCGCTCAGAATGGAAGGGGCGGTCCGCGCGATAAACGAAGCTCGAAATGCCATACTCCTGGATTGTAGACTGTAGGTCTGTAGGTCCCCCAACCCTAAACCCTAAACCCCAAACCCTAGCAAGACCCTACAAAACCCTTACAACCACCAGCCGGTTAAGGCTCTAAACCAGAAGCCCCTTCATTAAACGCTACTATATGGCCCCCTGAGCACCCCCAAGAAACCTCGTTTGAACGCTTAAACAGTCTATCTAAAACCCACAAAAAAATCCCGGACACCTATCACTACTCACTATTGTCACCATCGTTACTCGCTTTATTTCGCAAGCCTAGATTCAACCCCAAACCCTAAACCCTAAGCCCTAAATCCTAAGCCCTAAGCCTTAAGCCCTAAGCCCCAAACCCTAAACCCTAAGCCTTAAGCCCTAAGCCCTAAACCCTAAGCCCTAAACCCTAAACCCTACACCGTCACCCTCATAGCCCGATCTCCTCGGATTCAGGCTTGTGGCCCTGTCCCTGGAGCTCCCTCGCCCATCCCGGTGCCATGCTAGCCCACTTCATATCGAAGCTGCCCGTGTTCAGCACGAGCTTCCTGGTTAAGGGTTTGGAGTTTTTTTTTTTGTTTAACCCCTCTTTTCCGACTGCTCCGAAGGTTAGTTTAGGGTTTAGGGTTTATCTGAAGGGAATGCTTTTTGCGGGGATTCTCGTTCTGAAGCACTAGGAAATGCAGAGATCCGGCATCCCAAAGCAAGAAGGACTCCTAACACCGAGCTAGCTTCGGGCTGACGACACCGAACTGGCTCTCGACCATACGTGCCACCGGATTCAGCTTTTGCAGAATGCTTTTGAGGCGAGAAAGATCCTCGGAAGAGACAAGATCGGTCTTGTTAAGGACCAGCATGTTCGCGAATTCCACCTGGGGAGTTCGGAAAAAGCGCGTCCCGGTTTGGTCGTCCTTATACATCGAACTTACCTATGATCTGGCGGGCGATACAAAGGCGCCACCTGCTCCACCAGGAGGTCCACGATGGAGCGCTTGTCGCCGTCCTCAGCACCCAGCTCCTTCCGGTCCACAGCCCTCTCCTCTGAGCGATAATCATTCAGGAAGTTCTTGCAATCAACCACCGTGACCAGTGTGTCTAACCTCGCGACACCGCCCAGAAGCGCCAGGCCCTTGTCATCGGAAGCTGCGAATGTGCTGGCCACAGGCATCGGCTCGGAGATTCCGGTGCTCTCCTTAGTTTCTGAGTTCATAAGTCGCGGGAATGTAGATATCAGCTCTAAAGGCAACATAGTACCCAAAAAGTGTAGAGTGACCTTTACTCATGCAGTTGCTAAGTCTCAATTAGGAGGTGCTCATAGCGGCGCTCTAAGGCCAAAGCTTTGACACTCTCTATCAAATCCTCGCGCAGGGTGCAGCAGATGCAGCCGTTGTGGAGTTCCACCAACTTGTCTTTATTCTCCTGGGCCGTGACAGCATGGCAGTAATGGGAATGATATCAAAATCAGCTCATCTCGACATCTGGCATCATCGTTACCGTATCACCATCAATTCTTCTAAAATCATCGCTACTCGTAGCATCATGGCACTCGTAATATGCCACAAAGCACATAATCACACACCTCACAAAGATGGCCAAAGTCATCAGCTGCGAGAAGCACAAAGCAGTACAGCATAGACCAAAACAACTGCTGTGGTGACATGGGTGATTAGTTGCAATCGTTGTCGTACTGCTGGTGGTAGTGGTGCTGCTCGTGGTGCTGGTGCGCTGGTGCTGGCGCTGGGCGCGGGGGTTAGAGCTGGTGCTGGTCTGGGCTCGCTTTTACTGCTGATCGTGCACTGTATGCGTTGCAATCCTTGCTGCCCGCTGTAATCAAAATTGTTGGTGTTGTTGTGGTCGTAGTCGTAGTCGTCGTCATCGTCGCCGTCGACGGCTGAAGAAATGACTGCGGCGATGCTCATGAGGATAAAACCTGGAAAGATCATGTGACGAGTTAGACCGAAAACATCCTAACACGGCCGGCTATGTAAGCACGGCAAAAGAATTGTCCAAAACACGGACGAGCGCCCGCTCCTGCAAGCGCACGCCGTCGGCGACAAGGTCCGCGTCGATGTTGATCGATGCCATATCGTTCACGAGGACTGCGACCCGCATGCCCTCCCGGTTGTTCAAGACATGCGTGAGCATTGTCGTCTTCCCAGCACCCAAGAAGCCACTGAGCAAAGTCACCGGAAGCTTCTCCGTCTCATCCAAGCTGATGTCTCCAGAAACCCGAGTCACGGCAGCTTCGTTTGTGCGGTTGTACCCGTTCTCAATGGCCATGGCGTGCCAAGGAGCCGATGTCAATGGCAAAAGGGTGCGTATGTCCCTGCGAATCTGGCGCAAAAAGAGACTTTGGGGAAGAACTGCATGCTCCCGAACGATCAGCGAAGGGATATTGCAACAAAACATGAACAGTTCAGAAGTAAACCTGAACCTGCTTCGCAGATTTTCTTACCCTCCGGACATTTACCGCGGACCCTGCAGCATCAGAGCTCCGTGCAAATGAATCTCTTTTGCGAGCCGAACGGCAGAGTGTCTTGACAGTGTAGCGTTTTGGGTTTTAGGACTCGGGATTAGGGTTCACATTTCAGGTGTCCCACTGGCGAGGGCTAAATTTCCACAAGATGACCACCATGCCGGCTGTCATGTTTTCATAGCTGCAGAGACTGCTTTGAAATGCATAGCCGATGCCACTTCCAGAGTCTCAAATCTCAGGAAATTGACTCCACAACTTGCGACTCGTGCCCTCTTGCACAGGAGCAACTGCTAAGCACGTGTCGTGTCTCGCTCCAAACAATCGGCAGCTAACCTAAACTGATTGAAACCGGCGACCCCATTACTGAATAACCCCAAACCCCCAGAGAGCCCAATACCCCTTAATTAAGGAATATACCTTGAATTATAAGGGGCCGCATAATATGATTTAAGCCATATTCCTTAATTAAGGGGTATTGGGCTCTCTGGGCCCTCAACCTCCTGACTTTCCAAATCCTTTGTCTTCGATGCTGGCGATTCGTCCTCGAGAGCTGGAGGATCTCTGACCTCTCCGTGGTGCTCGAGTATCCAGAACCTACAAGACGAGTTTTACAAAAAACACTTCACACAGGCGCGGAAACCGCATTTCTGACTGCTGACAGTATTGCCGCATGCAAGAGTTGAAAAGAGAGGCGCCAGTGGCTGATTCTGCCCCACCAACAACTGCACGTGACTGTTTTGAGGTCGCCCCAGGCCAGCGTGCCGTGAGGACTCGTTGCACATGCACTTGCGTTTGCCGCCATTGGCTAGACATGCTTTTCTTTGACTAAATCCAAAACAGGACAAATGGCTGGCAAGAAAGGCAGATCCTGCCCAAGCACCCAGAGATGCTCTGCATTCGGCAGATTCTGCAAGAGAAACATGAAAAGAACATCTTCAAAATTGTGTTCGTCGCCAGACTGGATGGCACTGCCTCGTGCAACGGCCTTTCTCTTAGAGTACTCGAGCGTAAGACTTGTGCTGCAAGGCTGCTGCAAGTCTGCTGGCAAGACACACCAGCATTGCAGTGAGTAGATCGACTGCTCCTAGCAGTATGGCTGCATGCAAATGTTAAAAGAGAGCCGCCTGTGGCTGAGTCTGCCCCACCAACAACTGCATGTGACTTGTTGAGGTCGCCCCAGGCCAGCGTGCCGTGAGGACTCGTTGCACAGCACTTGCGTTTGCCACCATTGGCTAGACATGCTTTTCTTTGACTAAATCCAAAACAGGACAAATGGCTGGCAAGAAAGGCAGATCCTGGCCAAGCACCCAGAGATGGTCTGCATTCGGCAGACGATTCTGTAAAAGAAGGATGAGAACAACATCTCCAACGTGTTCTCCGAAAGCGTGGATGGCACTGCCTCATGCAACAGCCTTCATTCTGCCCCGACGTTCTTGTTTAATCCTAGGTTCGTCATGCGCAAATACGAAGCCCTCCAATGCGAGGACTTGTGATGCAAGGCTGCTGCAAGGCTGCTGGCCAGACACACGAGCAGCGCAGTGCGTAGTGGATCAAGCCTCCCAGGCAGCCACAGGCACAACAGGAGTCTCGGCCTGTGGCTTTTCGCCCATCTCCGCAGCAATCTCTGCAGCGCGCTCCTCACGCTGCTCCTTGGAGACGACCCTGTAGCAGCCGTCCTTCCACCACCACGCAATTAAGCCGGCCACGACGCCAAGGGCTAGCAGTGTAACGACGACGCCACCGGCAATGCTGGCACCATACAGCAAAGAGATGGCAAGGGCCACTCCGGGCAAGGCCACAAACATCACCAGGATGTAAATCAAAGGCACCAGGCGCCAATAGGAGGCGTAGAAGCCTAGCAGGCAGGCGGCCTTGACGGGGATCCGGCGCATGAATGGTACTGGGAACCAAATTAGGATTCCGAAGATATTGAAGAGCAAATGCACAAAGGCGATCTGCAAGCTGTCAGGCTTCATGACTGCGACGGCGGCAAGCATTGATGTGAACGTGGTTCCGATGTTTGCCCCCAGAGTCATCGGGAACATCTTGTGCACCGGCAGCACTCCAACCCCGCAAAGCGGAGTCAGGGTGGAGGTCGTCACGGAGCTGGACTGGACGATGAAGGTGATGGCAAGGCCGACCAGAATTGCTACATAATCGTTCATGTTCGTAGCGCGCATGATCACCTTCTTTGCAGTGCCCATGATGAGGCTGTGCAGGAGCTTCACCAAGCAGAACAGGGTGGCGGTGACGATGATCAAGGAGAAGATCAACCCGAAGATGCCGCCCGCGATATCACCCATGCCGGAGAAGGCACCTCCATCCAAGATAGTGCCAGCCTCGATGGACTGCGCATAAAACTTGTCAGCCTCCAAGTAGCACGTGTCCGAGCCGCAGCCGTGGTTCAAGAGCGGGAAGTAGGTGCTGCACTCTGCCAGCACCTCATAAGCATCCTTGTCGACCTTCTTCCAGTTCTTGCTCATGGAAGAGGAAACACAGAAGTAGTTGCTGCAGTCCATGGTGCTCGGGCAGCTTCCAGTCAGGCCAGTCGGCATGGCGTGCGCCTTAGGTGCACCCAAAGACAGCGACTTTGTCACGTCCTTGTTCGGGTCCACGAAGAGATCGGTGAAGGGGGCGACGATGAACTTGGTCGGAGACGTGAATGTCACATCCGTTTCAGGGCCCACAACAGCCTCTGTGATTCCTTTCGAGATGTAGTACAGGAGGCCACCCTCTCCGGCAATGGCACCAATGATCACCTCCTCCGGCAGCATGACGAGGACACTGAGGAAGTTGAACATGTCATGAACCTTGGTAGTTGATACGCAAGACCCAGTGACCGCTCAGTTCGACAGCAACAAGGGAAGACCATTTACCATTCAGTTGCATTAACGAATCAGAACAGCCATAACGTCAATAGTAGTTGACCTAGCAGCTGTAGCCCCGGAAAAAGCACGCTCGAGCTCAAGACGCTCACCAGCATGCGCCATCGAGACAATGGTGTTTGTCACGGACGTGCCGATGTTGGCGCCCATGATGATGGGAATTGCATACTTTACAGAAACTTGGCCGGCACCGACCAAGCCCACCACGATCGAGGTGCTGGTGGAGGAAGACTGAACCAGGACCGTCGCCAGAATGCCAACCATCAAACCCGTGATTGGATTATCAACGATGGTAAACAAGTCTCCAGCACCCTTGCCTCCAAGCACCAGGAAGGAGCTGCCCATCATGTCCAAGCCCATCAAGAAGAAGTAGATCGAAGCAAGAACACCGATGATCTTCGCGATAGTGATGAGGACAAGCTTTCCCTGGCTAGGCTTCGCGGCTTCGTCCATGGCGATCGGAGCTGACGTCAGGCAAAGAAAGGAGCGAAGTTAAGACTTGACCCGAAACTTTTCGGTTTCAACGGCAAATCGCAAAACGGCGTGACCAAGTCTCAACCCCCCACCCAAAAAAACAATCAACACAACGCAAGTTGCAGGCCACAATCCTTCGGTCTTTGCATGTGCACAATCATTCTTGCAGAGCATTGTCCCTCCCCGACTACCTCACCACGACGTGCACTTCACTTCGCCCATTCGGCGATATCCCGCTTCTTGGCTGATTCTGGCTGCCTCCTGCTTCCTGACGGCATCATAAAAACGACCTTGGCCTCCCACAGCGGTTCGACCGGACCTAAACCCTAAACCTTAAACCCCAAACCGACGTGCGAAGAGTGCTGTGTGGATTCTCGGATCGTCAACGGCAGCCTCGAGGCTGCGTGCCGGTTAGAACCGCATCATGAATGCGGCTGCCTCAAATCTGAGCAACTGACTTTGCGGTATATGTGATACTATGGTTATAATAAGGAACCCCCCAAAATAGTACAGAGGCCCCTGGAGGTCGTTTAATAGACTGACTTGGCTATCTGCTCTGCAACATGAAAGCGATATGAAGTGTGTGTTCGTAGGGTTCGTAGGCAGAACATCTGTTGGGTAATGCCGTGAAGGCTATTGAAAGAGCACCAATTGAAAACCTCAGTGGCATCAACGATATGAACTCACAACACTCCGCTGCGCAACAGTCACAAATGAACAAGAAAACAATAGAAAACATGAAAGCCTGTCTCATGAGAAAACTTGAAATCATGCGCCAGCGATTTTCCCACCACTCTCCCACGGAAGGCTGTCCGACGTTTCATAAACGACTATCGCACACACACGACGACTGAGTGTAAAAGGACGCAGGAGCCCGACCGCACAACGGAGCACAAAGCAGCAAACAACAATGCACGAGACGGAGCAGAGCAAACAGTAACCCTGGACACAGAGGAAAGCAGCAAACAGCAAACCAGGACATAAACGACCGTACAAAACAGGCACAAAGAAGCGACAACGCGAGGACGCAGGAGTCAGACAGCATGAAGCACTGGGAGCTCCAACCACACAAGATAGAGCACACAGAAACGAACAACTTCCAGCACTCACGCGTCTCCAAACCTTTTACTCTCCAATCGGGCACTCCGTTGTAAAAAAAATTGACACTGAATTTCGAAAAAACGCCTCTGGCACCTGTCGCTTTCGCAAGAATGCACTCGATCTTCTGAGAAACCTGAAGCCGACGAGCGGTTCGGAGTCGGCATGCTTTTAGAGCTAAGAGCATACTACGCTCCAATTGTCTCCATGGCGGAAAGGACACGTCGCAACCGAAACTTCCACCGGTTTGACTCCGAACCTTCTCGCAGTTGCTTCGACTTCCATTTTCAACGTGCCCACTGCGATCTTACCTTTGTGCTTCCTGCAGGCAAGCCTTTGTACTGATTGCGTATCCACTCCAACAACGTCGTTGGCACACATCACTTCCATCCGAAGTCAACCAATCGAGTGCTTCGACACTTTGTGAACAGAGCTGGGCTCCACCCGTCGCCCGAACACTGCTACGGTTCAACGTCGCGATTCCAAAGCTTTTTGTGCACTGTACAGAGGGCTGCAAGCGCTCGGCAGTCACGAAGTTGACAACAGAATTCGATCAAAGGGTTCGAAGTTGGTTTAGAGCAGAGCCCACAAACTTTCCCACTCAGAACACACACTGTCGAACATGGGATCGATTCTTTCAAAGAGACACATAACATAGGGACAAAACAAACAAGCCGCGTCGGTGAGGGTAGAGAGCATAGGTTTTTGGAATGTTCCCGAACCCTGGGTTCGGACTCCGGAGGGTGAGGGGGGGAAACATAACATCGGAACTCAGGGTTGAGCCCTGGGTTCGAACTTCGCGAATTTAGGTTCAACCTGGGGTTCGGTTTCTGTGTTCGAACCCTGGGTTCGGGGAACTCTATGTTCGAACCCTGGGTTCGGGGAACTCTATGTTCGAACCTTGGGTTCGGGGAGCTCTATGTTCGAACATAGGGTTCCGCGAACCCAGGGTTCGAACATAGAGTTCCCCGAACCCACCTTCTCCAAGACGAAAAAAAGAGAAGCCACGCAATCGCTTTGGGGAGTGAACAGCAAGGAAGAATCGACAGGAGATCTTTCTCCAACACGAAAAAAGGAGAAGCCCACACGAAATCCCTGTAGGTGGTTTAAAAGCGACGAAAATACGAGGAAAAGGCACATAATCGCTTTAGGGAGGGAAAACAAGGAAGAACCGCCTGAAATCTTTCTCTAGAGAAAAGCAAGGAAGAAGAATCAACTAGAAGTCTTTTTCCAACACGAAAGAAGCAGAAGCCCGTACGAAATTAGGGGGTGTAAATGCAAAGGAAGAACAATGAAATACATCGAAACGAACACACAGCATGCAATCGATTTGTTTTGGCGTCTGCGGGCCTCGTCGGCTGCGGCAGCAGCCCGACCGCACAACGGAGCACAAAGCAGCAAACAACAATGCACGAGACGGAGCAGAGCAAACAGTAACCCTGGACACAGAGGAAAGCAGCAAACAGCAAACCAGGACATAAACGACCGTACAAAACAGGCACAAAGAAGCGACAACGCGAGGACGCAGGAGTCCGACAGCATGAAGCACTGGGAGCTCCAACCACACAAGATAGAGCACACAGAAACGAACAACTTCCAGCACTCACGCGTCTCCAAACCTTTTACTCTCCAATCGGGCACTCCGTTGTAAAAAAATTGACACTGAATTTCGAAAAACCGCCTCTGGCACCTGTCGCTTTCGCAAGAATGCACTCGATCTTCTGAGAAACCTGAAGCCGACGAGCGGTTCGGAGTCGGCATGCTTTTAGAGCTAAGAGCATACTACGCTCCAATTGTCTCCATGGCGGAAAGGACACGTCGCAACCGAAACTTCCACCGGTTTGACTCCGAACCTTCTCGCAGTTGCTTCGACTTCCATTTTCAACGTGCCCACTGCGATCTTACCTTTGTGCTTCCTGCAGGCAAGCCTTTGTACTGATTGCGTATCCACTCCAACGACGTCGTTGGCACACATCACTTCCATCCGAAGTCAACCAATCGAGTGCTTCGACACTTTGTGAACAGAGCTGGGCTCCACCCGTCGCCCGAACACTGCTACGGTTCAACGTCGCGATTCCAAAGCTTTTTGTGCACTGTACAGAGGGCTGCAAGCGCTCTGCAGTCACGAAGTTGACAACAGAATTCGATCAAAGGGTTCGAAGTTGGTTTAGAGCAGAGCCCACAAACTTTCCCACTCAGAACACACACTGTCGAACATGGGATCGATTCTTTCAAAGGGACACATAACATAGGGACAAAACAAACAAGCCGCGTCGGTGAGGGTAAAGAGCATAGGTTTCTGGAATGTTCCCAAACCCTGGGTTCGGACTCCGGAGGGTGAGGGGGGGAAACATAACATCGGAACTCAGGGTTGAGCCCTGACTCGCTCCCTAGAAACACACAACCGCATACAAAAAGCCTAACTAGCAAGAACAAGAACACAAAGCGGTGAAACAAGCTGCGACTTGCGGACTTTGCCAACAGAGATCGTTCAGCTACTGGTCCGCAGCGTCAATATGTTATGACATCATCCCCGCTCACTGGCCCTGCCCTCCGCAAAGCCTGGAGAGCGCAATGGCCCAATACATTCATGAGGCCCTGCTCACCGCAAACACTGGTGAGAGCAATGGCCGCATGTCCGTGAAGCCATGCACATGGATGCGACTTGGGCCTTGCCAGCAGAGATCGTTCCGCTTTTGGTCCGTGGCGTCATATGTTATGACATCATCCCCGCTCACTGGCCCTGCCCTCCGTAAAGCCTGGAGAGCGCAATGGCCCAATACATTCATAAGGCCCTGCTCACCGCAAACACTGGTGAGCGCAATGGCCGCATGTCCAAGCACATTGATGCCTCCCATGGCCCAAGTGGCCCGCCGGCAGGATCAGACACGCTCGGCAAACACAGACCGCCGTGGTCAGTCGCAGATCAAAACTGCGATGACGGAGAGTCCTTTCACCGGCCATACGAGTCAGTGCACGAGACGCACAATGAGTCCCACTTTGCGCAAAAGCATCGAAAGCCAGTGGCCTGCCTGATATAAAACCAAAACAGGCTGCACTCCATGCAGGCCTTGTCAGGATCCCGCCAGCTATCGCACGAGCGACGTGTTCCGCCCCAATCCAAGGCAGGCCTGGTTTGAAGCCCTCTTAGTCCGTATACGTTCAAGTTCCCAGTCAAGATATAAATAGAGAAATATCCATCCGATAGATATTCCAAAATGGGAGCAGACGGAATCGAAATATAATTCCATTCCGAAAGATAGAGAAATGTGCACGCACCAAAACGACATGTTTTCTCGAAAGGAAATGCCGAGTCAACGATCGACCAACCCGACGAAACCCCCAGCCAATGCAGCAAACGTTCAAAACCCCGTCCCACCGTGGAGAGCAAGCTCCAAAGGGAAAGGGGAAACGCACTGGTCAGGGGGAAGGGTTTGAAAGGGTCGAAAGCCGTACCGTAACTACCCCCCATGGCGGGTGCAAGGGGATGGTGGTGGGTGAAAAATTTTGACCAGGAACGGAAGTTGAACCAAAAAGGCAAACGAAAGCGAAATTCAACACTGCCACGTCCAAGCATGCGCAAAGGAAAAAGGCATGTGTTGAAAACGAAAACTTGCCTTCCGGGCTTTGAGGGCTAGCAAACCAAATCGTTTCAAAAACGAAAATCGTTTGAAGCCCTCTTAGTCCGTATACGTTCAAGTTCCCAGTCAAGATATAAATAGAGAAATATCCATCCGATAGATATTCCAAAATGGGAGCAGACGGAATCGAAATATAATTCCATTCCGAAAGATAGAGAAATGTGCACGCACCAAAACGACATGTTTTCTTGTTGAAACTAAAGGCTTCTCAAGCCTTCCTTCCCACTCTACTCTCTAACACACTTTTCTCACTTCGCGGGCTGACTTGCTTAAGCCTTCGTGTCGCGGTTCACACACATGTTTCATGTGTTCTCGTGATTACTCTACACACTCTACTTGGGACTACGTGCACTAGGTTACAAACGAACACCCCGCCTCAGAAAGTTCTTGCGGGTTCCTAGGGTGTTCTTGGAAACTGCTAGGGCTTACTGTACAGTGCTTCTGCTAGGGACTTTCGTCTCCGTTGTTCTTGGTCTTTTACCTAGCTGCACTCCTGCCCTGTTGCTACTTAGGCCTTCTATGTCTGTACATTGGCCTTCTTGAAAAACCTACTCTGTATATACAGCTACGTTCTAGTTAGGTCCAGCCTATGGACTCTTTGCGGGGAGGCCCGTACCCCGGTTTCCTTCTGCCCTTACGTAGCCTACGGGCTTTTCTTCTTTCGGGCTTCTTCTCTTTGTTCTTGGCTTCTCCGGCTTCTTGCCACTTCTGGCCCTTGTACCTTCCTAGCCTGCCTGTTGTGAAACTTCTTGTGGGACTCTGGAAGGTTATAGCTTACCTAGGCTTACTGCCCCAGTTTGCTACGTCTATACATTTGCTCACACTTTGTACATGAATTCTTGCGCTAGTATACATCAAGTCTTACGTTGCTTAGCTATGTACATATGTACAGGCGTTCACTGCTTGACCTGCTCGATCATTCCTTCTCGGGATTCTTTCACTGGGTCTGACCCAGTTCTTGGACTTCTTGCCTTTACCCTTTCCTTTGGGTGTCCACTGGTCCCAGTGGTTCTGCTGCGCCCACTCTTCTGGCGATTGCCAGTAGCCTTTGTTGTTCGGGTTCGCGTTCTCGTACCAGTTGCTGCCGTCGTCGTTGGTGTTCCAGTTCTCGTTGTTCCACTGGTCGTTGTACCACCAACCGTCGTTGTGTCCGTCGTCCCAGGAAGGGCCTTTTCCCTTGGTTCCTGTGTTGTCGCTCTTGCCCTTCATGCCGATGCGTCGCTGCACCTCTTCCTCGATCTTCTCGTTCTCCTTGGTCTCGAGAAATTTATCCAATTCCTTTCCGTCTGTAAACCACATGTTGTGTCTTCTGTAGCACTCCGTCACCTTGTTCCAAAGGAGGCGGCCTTTCACCGGAGCGTTCTTGATTCTCGTGCTTCCTTTCTTGTCCTCGCACTTCGCGCGGTACTCTTGCGTCTTCTTGTTGAACTCCCACACGTAGCCAAGCTGCGTGAACTCAGCTATGTCGTTGGGGTCGACGGTAGCTTCGTCTCCTTGGTTGCTTGACGGCTTCTCTTCTTGGTCTTCTGTCTCTACCTGCTTTGGCCTTTTTCCTTTCTTCTTCTCTTCCTCTTTTGCTTGCGCTTCTTTCCTCTCTTTCTCTTCTTCTGCTTTGCTCTTGTACGCTTCTTCTGTCTCTTCTTCACCTTCGCTTCCAGACAGGGCTGCACCTATGGTTTCCTTGAGGCTTTTGACCTTCTTCTTGTACTTCACGATCTTGTCCTTAGCTGCAAGTAGAAGTGCGTCCACTTCCTGTGAGTAACCTTTGAAGTACTGGTAGTCGTCCTTGAGGCTCTTGTAGTCGTACTGGAGGTCGTCGAGCTTCTGGTTCCTTACTTTCTCTTCTTGCTTTAGTACTTTAAGCTCTCTCTCCAGGTCCTTCTTTGCGTCGCCCACGTATTTCTTGGCGTACTCTTCTCTCTCCTGGTCGTAGCCGGCGGTTCTTTCCTGGGCTTTTCTCTCTCTCTTCTCTGCCTCTTTCTTCTTCTTTTCAACCTCTGCTTCCTTTGCTTTGACGTTCTCCTCAGCTTCTTCAAGGGCTGTCTCCTTCTCGCTTAAGACCTTGGCTTGCTCTTGGAGGGTCTCTTGGTCTTTCTCTAACTTCTCTTCTCTTTCTGTAACTTTGTCTTCCTTTTCCTTCACCTCCTTCTGCTTCTTCAAAAACCTTTTCACTGTCTCCTCAAACTCTGTCTTTTGGTTTCCGAACTCCTCCTTTTCCTTCTCCAGGCTTTCCTCAACCTTCTTCAACTTCTCTGCTCTCTCTGTCACTTCTTTCTTTGCCTCGTCGAAGGAGTCCACGTCGTAGTTCACCTGAGCGGCAGGAGCTTCAGTCTTCGCTTCGTCTTTCTCTGCTTTCTTCCTCCTTCGGTTCTTCTTCTTCTTCTCTCCACTTCTGCTTCCTGAGCTGCTTTCCTCTTCTTCACCGCTGCTCCTCTCTTCTCTCTTCGGCTTCTTGTGCTGCTGTGGCTTTCTCATCTCGTTCACGACAAACCATGCCGCCATGCACACCATGGCGAGCGTCACCAGGACTTCCAGAAGCGACATGCTTCCAGGACTGCTTGGGACTTCTTGTGGGCTTGCTACTTCTTGAGCTGCGGCGAAAGGTACGTAGGCTGCCTCAGTCTTTCCAAACAAACTCGAAAGTGCAAACAACATGCTGCTTTTGTTCTTCATGATCTTCTCGAGTCTTCTCACCACTTGTGCCTTTTCTTCTTCCTCTCGCTGTTGCTCTCCAACTCTTCCTTCGCTGTTGCACATGCCGATCATGTTCAGGAGAAACTTCACTCTTTTCGTGCTGAGAGGCTTTGTTCCTAGGTCTGCTGTGTTTTCCTTTGTACCGACTGCGTGTACAGTAAGCTTGCCTTCGCGTATTGCTGCTTGTAGCCAAAGTAACCGAATCTGCAAGTGCTTGACTCTTCCTGTTCCTTGGCGGTTTGTGATTCCGCGGCACGCGGAACTGTCTGTGTATGCTTTGAGTAGTACTCGTTCTCCTGTAAGGAAACGAACTGCTGCGTGTAAACCTATTCCTTCACTTGCTGCTCCTGTAAGTGCCATGTATTCTGCTTCTGCTGAGCTTAATGCTATTGACTTTTGTGTCCTGCTGTAGCTGTAGAAATATGCACCGTCCAGGTAGAACATGGCGCAACTCACTGACTTCCTAGTCTGCTTGTCTCCGGCCCAGTCGGAGTCACTGAAAACTTCGAGCAAACGTTCGCGTGGTTGTTCTCGAGGTTCTTGTAGTTCTTGTGGTTCTTCGGCGCGGTGACGTAGAGCTGACGTTCCTGGGCTGTTCCTGTGGTACGTAACGGCGTAGTCTGACGTTCCTTTGAGGTAGAGCGCCAAGTGCTCCAACTCCTTTCTTTTGCGTTCCGTTGGCTTCGTCATGGCAGCACTTAGGCTACGTACTGCGAACTGAATGTCCGGACGGTCGTGCGCCACGTACAACAAAATGCCGACACAACTTCTGTACGTTCTCGAGTGTTCCTCGTCCAGTTCTTGGGATACGTCAGGTTCCTGACTAGCCGGTGTGCAAGGTGAGTTCTTGGCCTTCTTCTTCTCCAGCTTGAGGATCTCCACGAGTTTCTTCACGTACTTGCTATCGCTATGTACTCGTAGTTCATGATGTTCGTACGTGTACTTCCTTTTGAGAAACTTCACGGTCTCTTCAGAAAATCCTTTCTCGTAGTCTTCCTCGTTCAGAAGAGGTCCTTCAACTTGTAGGTTCACTTTCTTCTTGAGGTTCTTGAGGATTGGTTCGATGACTTCCTTCTTTCCTGCAAACTGCAAGTCATCTACATGCACAATGCAAACTGCAACCACTTTTCCTTGTCGTAGAAGACGGTAAAGTGCTGGAACTGCTGTACAACGCTCAAACTTCTCTTCCACCAAAAGTCCATCACAAAAGTCTGACCAAAGACTGGATGCGTCGCGTTGACCTGGCAAAACTCTTCCTAACTTCCAACACCAAGTTCCAGGGCTGCGTTCTTGTTGTTCCTGCATTGCTTGTACGACGTGAGCTGCTTCTTCAGGTACTCGACACAAACAAGGTGTTCTTTGAGGGACTTGTAAAAACGCGTCCTTCACGTCGACACTGTAGATCGCCCAGTGATTGGCGAGAGCCAGCATGGGCACCAGTTTTGTAATTCCTGGGCTTGTCGCAGGGGAAAATATATCTTCCCTTTTTCCTTCTGTCTTGTATTCTCTGGCTACTAGTCTGGCACGTCGTTGCCAGCATCTTTGAATCTGCTTGGGCTTTGTTGTTCCTTCTTTGGCTTCTTCAACTTCAAAACCTGTAGCTTCTCTGAACCTCCAATCTTTCACCAACTTCGTTGTCAACCACTTGTGAAGTTCTTGCTCTGAGTCTACCAGAGGTACGTTCTCAGTTGCTTCCTGAGGGTCCGTAGAAACCAACGAAATAACTCCCATCTTTGTTAACCTCTTGATTTCCTTGACTGTAGCTTCATCATCCAACTTCTGAAGAAAAGCTGGATCCACGTTCGGTGGTCCTTTCTCCTCGTCGAAGAACTCGACAGGGACCTTGGTAGAAACTTCTGTTGGTTCACTCTCTGTATCCTCTTCTTCTTCTTCCGACTCGTACACAAACTCATCATCTGCTTCGTAGACTTCATCATCATGAGGCATGTTGAGGTAACCGTCTGTTTCCTCTGCTCTGTTGACCTGCTTTCGTAGCTTGCTGGGTGAGCTTGGTTCCTCAGGCTCAAGACTGTGCTTGCTTGCTTCTGCTCTTGGTTCAGCTGGTGCTGAAAGTGCTTCTGCTGAGGCTGTAAGTGGTTCAACTGCTCTGAGTTCCTCCAAAAGGGTATCGTCATCAACTTCAGCTCTTCTTTTTCTATCTCTCGTCACACTCATGCTGCTGCCTTCGCTTTGTTCCTCTCTGTCTTCAAGTGCTCGCTGCTGCTCTTCACTGCTGTCCTCCGAACTCGGAGGGTCGCTAGCGGCCTCGTCGTTCTCGAGCTGTTCGCGTTCTTCCTCGGCAACAGGGGGCAGGATGCTTAGCTGTGGTCGTTGTCTTTGCTTCTTCTCTGGAAGTACTCTTGCTCAAAGGAGTGGTGTGTTGAGGTTCCAGGTATGGACCTCAATGCTGCTTGTTCTTTTGGAGTCGTACTGTTCTGGTAGTGGTCTCACGCTGCGTGTGATATGTATGCCATCAGGCTGTGCAACGATCCATGTGTCTTGCTCTGTCTTGCCTAAAAATATTCCTGCGTTCCATATCCTGTCACCTTTCTTCTTAATCTTCAACCTCTTCGCCATCACAACAGTACCAAAGGGTACAAGCTTCCCTGAGTAGGGGTATCCGTGGATAACTTCCTGTGCGTTCTTCCTGTGGAGCTGCTCACTGCGAACCTGTTGAGTAGCCAGCAGGCGTGTCTAAACGCCCAGCTTACTACTGCGTGCTCGTGTGGTATTCCCAGCTGTGTTCTTTCTCTGAGTTCATCGAGAATGGTGTTCGCTTGCCTCCGTACTGTTTGTATTGCTCTTTCTGCGGCTCCATTGCTTTCGTGGTCGTAAGGAATGCTTTCCTGTAGTGTTGTAGAAAGTCCAAGGCTGCTGCGTACTTTCTGTACTTTGTCCTTGAGTGCTTTGGCTGCGTTCTCGTTGTCTGCTTTGAGAACGAGGGTGTTGTACCCGAGCTGCGTGGTGAACTGCACGAGTGCTTCCGCGAGATGCGTCGTGCTTCCTGCACCTCCTTTCCTCTTGCAGGGCACCGAAAGAACTGCCTTGCTCCAGCTGTCCACAGCGACAAGAGTCACTGCTGGTGGCTCTTCACTTCCTGTGGTGCTTGTATAGCAAAAGTCAAAACTGATGACGGGCTTCGCGGAATCCGTAGAGCTGCTTGGCTTGCTCAATCCTTTCTTGTGGTTGTCTTCTCGTGCTTTCATAGCAACGCAATGGGGACACCAAGGCTGATACGGAAGGTGCGTCAAGTTGTGGTACGCTCTCTCCTCTTCCGTTGGTTCCTGTGGTGGTGCTAGGTGGTATGCTTGGTGGTGTTCCCGTTGTTCCTTGTGCTGCGTGCTGAGCCTTTCTTCTCTGACTGCTGTGGCGAGTCTCTTCAAGAGCTGCTTCTTGCTTCCTGTTGTCTTCACTCTGTACTCTCTGCAAAGTGCTTGTAGTTCCTTAAGACTGCTTTTCTGCGCTGTGTACTCGACGCCTTCGTGGTAGAAGCTTTCCTCCAAAACTTCAACAACTTCTTGTGGTGCTTCTTGGTCTGCTGGTGCTTCTCTCATCTCTTCGTCTTTATTCTCCTCTGCTTCTGGTGGTGCTGCTGAATCTTCCTTCTCTTTGTAGTGCTCTTCCTTCTTCTTCTTTAGCTCCTCTGCTGCAGCTTCTGCTTTTAGGTCTTCAACAACTCCTGGCTTCACACGAAACCTTGTTTGACCAAACCACGGTAAACGGAAGTGTTCACGTAGAGGTAGGCGGTCTGCTCTCCAGTCGTCGCTGTGTTCGTAGATCTCTGTACTGTAAATGCAGTCTCCTTGGGTATACCTGCTGTTCTCGAGATCTCCAAGGAGGACAGGGCAGTTGGCAACTCCTGTCGGGTCAAACAGTACAGTTCTTGGTACTACGTGGTGACGAACAACTTCTCCCTTCTCGAGGTCCATTCTCCAGTAGTCACGACCATGACTTTCTTGGTCTGCTCGGTCTCCAGCAGCGTAGGGGGTGCCAAGGATCCAAAGTGGAATTGGCTTTGCTGAAATGGCTGTAACCACTTCCTTTTCTCCTTCTGCAAACTCTTCAAAAGGGTCTGCCTTCTCGGAGTACTTTCTTGAAACTTCAACTGCTCTCCATCCTCTCTCTTCTTTCACCAAAGTGCTTCTGTACGGAAAGTGCGTAGGGCTGTACATGAGAGATGGGTTCTCATAGCTGCATTGAGTGGCGTACTTCACGATCACCATGCTGTCTGTGTTGTGCCAACCAGGTTCTTCTCTGTTCACTGCTTCCTGAACGTGCTTGTTGAGCTGAACAACTGTGCGAACCATCTTGTAGTTGTTGCTGCTGTAACTTCTGCTTCTTGAAGGAGTTTGTACGTAGGCATAGGCTGCCAAGCTGTTCTTGTGGAGATGCACTGGTATTCTTGAGCTTCCATCTGTAAGACACATACCTTCTTCTTCGTTCACTCGCAACTCCCAACCTTCTCGAAACAGCTTGCCTATGGCCATCAGCGGGTTGATCACCGAGGCAACGGTGAAGGCTTCCTGGATGCGACAAAAGCTTCCGTCGTCATCAAAGAACGTTAAGTTCAGCATCCTTCTGCCTTCCGTCTTTATTGCCTTTCCTTGTGCGTCCTGAATGGACGAAGGGCGAACCTTCAAAGGGGTTCCTTCTTTTCCTAGCCAAGAGGGCACAAGAGAAACGTCTGCGCCAGAATCCAGGATAACTTCGATTCTTTGGTGAAGATCACTTTCCTGGAAAAACTCTTCCTCTACAACGCGTACTGAGAGAACTTCTTGTGGTGGTAGTGCTTCACGTCCAAGGTACCAGTTTAGTAGAGGATCTTCTTGTTCTTCTTCGCTCTCTTCTCCTTCTGACAAAACAAACTCTTCAGCTTCCGTCACTCTCAAGACTCTTCCAAAGTACTCGATCTCGAGCTCTTCTTCGTCTTCGTCAAGTTCAAAAACTTCAGGGTACGTGACGGGATCGTTGTCCATGTGGTACATCGCGATTTGCCGAACTGTTGGCTTAGCTGTAGACTTCGCGCTTGTAGTTCTTGTTGTTGTGGCTGCCGAAGCGCTACTGCTTGGAACTGTAGTAGGCTGCGTCCTGACGCTTTGCTCGTCTTCCTCCTGTGCGTTCCTGACGTTCTGCTGCATGTCTCTCTGCTTGAGTCTGCAATTGGCTTCATAGTGTCCAGGCTTTTGGCAGTAATGACAAACACCAATTCCTGGGTTGTTGTAGCCTTTACCTTTTCCTTTGCTGCTGTAGCCTTTTCCCCCGCCTTTGCCATATCCTCGGCCTCTGCCTTTTCCTTTTCCTCGTCCTTTTCCTTTTCCTCGGCCTTTGTAGTAGTACTGGCTTTCTCCTTTTCCTTTTCCTTTGCCGAAGCCTTTGCCTTTGCTGTACTTGCCAAATCCTTTTCCTTTCTTTCCTTTCCCTTTATCTTTTCCTTTGCCTTTATTCCACCATTCCACTCGTGAAACATCCATGTCTGCTTGTCCTTGGTGGTCCTTTCCTGAGTTGATAAGGTCTGTGGTAGTCCACCTTGCTGCTTGCTCGTAGGAGAGGAGGTACTGTCGTAGTGTACCGTAGTTTGTGGTCTCTTTCTGGTTGAGTAGAAGATGTTGTCTCATGTTCCCTTCAGTTCCTCCAAGGATGATGGAAATCTTCATGTCGTCCGCAACAAGGTCTCCACTCGCTCTCTCGTACTCTTCAATCAACTCCTCGAACTTCAAAATATTTTCTTGTGTTGACCTTTGCTTGTCGAACCTGTAGTGAAGAACTCCGTTAAGTAGTTGTAGAGAACGTGCACGGTTGTGAGGCTGATGTTCCTCCACCAACAACCTCCATGCTTCGAAACCGTTCTCGTTGGGCACTTGTTTTAGAGTTCGTAGAGGACGACCACGTGTATAGCTGGTGAGAATGGAATGTAGCTTTCTTGAGAGTGCTTGTTCACCTGGGTTAAGTTTGCTCCATTCCCATGATGCTTCTCTTCTATCCATCTCGACTGCGTTGATCTTCTCAAGGATGTCGTTGTTGAGAGCGCCTATCCAACTTCTCAGCTTCAACCGAAACTCTAGAAAACCATCACGCTCTTCCTTGTATGTAGTAGGGCCAAAGACTTCTGGAGATTTGATCATCTTATTCCTTATTTGCACACCGGAATCCAATATGTTTTCTATGGAATAATATATCCATATAAATGTGCGAAGGTCCCTTGCTCGCGCAACTCTATTTTTCCACGTGGGATGCTACACTCCGTGCCGTCTTCCTTCAGACGGCTAAGGGGTAGGCTCAAACAATCTGGGTCGGGAGGGCGGGACAAGTTTTCCCCGTGCCCACACTTGAGAGGAAAGTCGCCGGAGCCACACTTCATCTCACTGCCCGGAAAACTTGCAAACGTGATTCCTAATTTCAGTTTAAAACGAACATGAAATTTGTGCAAAACTGAATAAGGAGTTCATCCTTTCTGCTTCGGGAAGTTTAAAGGAGTAAACTCTTATTCCTTATTTGCACACCGGAATCCAATATGTTTTCTATGGAATAATATATCCATATAAATGTGCGAAGGTCCCTTGCTCGCGCAACTCTATTTTTCCACGTGGGATGCTACACTCCGTGCCGTCTTCCTTCACCCCGATCATCTACGGCATGACCTGGTCCCACGGAATAGCACGCCTTGCAGCACCTCTTTTTAAAAGAGGCTCAAATTCCAGCCGTGAGGGATTGTCTGCTATGTTGCAAGCAGTCGGTACGCGAGCGAACCACGTCTTCAGCTGCAACGTGGTTTCAAGCTGAAGGAAAGATTCAATCACAGAGTTGGCGAGTGCGCTACCGCCAAAGGTTCGGATCAGAGAATGGCGAGCACCATCATTGTCAAGATAGAACACTACTTGAGCTCCTTTCAAGCGATCGGCCCAAATGATAAGGCTGATCAGTGCTGGAATCAACTCAAGCTCGAAAATGGGATTCGCACTGATGCTCAAAAGCTGCTGCATCAAATCGCTTGGAACTGCCTCACCGAAGAACTCGCACGGAGTACCAGAGGCATTCACAAGGACGCCTCCGACACCTCCCGTGCCTTCCTCTGGATTGCAAGCCCCGTCAGTGAAAACGATCAGCGTTGTGATGAGGTTTCGCTCGACAACTAAAGGCTGGCTCATGGCTATTCTTTCACGCAGCCACGTCAACGCCCACATCAAATCTTCAGTAAGATTCTGAGGGGCAGACTTTTCCACGCACTTTGCAACAACTCGCTGAGCCCGATTAGAAACCCTTCCAAAGGTGAAACCCTCGAAGAAAACCATACGACCCCTAAGGCGTTCGGCAGCCTTCGAGTCGATCTTTCCTTCCTGAAGGATGGTTTGGATGTACTCGGTGAGCTCTTCCTTTCGCTTCTGAGTATGACCCACACGAAGGATCCGCTGCTTCACACAAGACAGATCAACAGAGAGGCCGAGCATGTTGAAGGTAACTCCGAAGGGTTCGGCTTTGGACCCGTCCTTGGCGAAGCGGAAACCAAGCAGGTCAAACAAAGTTTCCACAGTCCACTGGGCGTTCGATTCCAGGCTCTTCGCAGAAACTATGCTGTAGTCATCGAAAAAGGCAGACCAGAATAGCCTGAAAAGGACTATTCCGATCTTCCACAAGGCGACACTTATCCTTAGGAAAGCAGCGACTGACCCCACCCCTCCGAAGGGGAGGGCGTTTACGCCCAGGAAGCTCGGCTTGTGGTGGCCTGGCCTGTTGACAGCAATGCGTAGCCTTTCACGGTCAGCAGCACACACACCAAATTGCTTGTACGCTGCCGTAAGGTCGAAAGTTCGGCCGCAGCACTCAGGCATAACACCGGACACGACATCAAAAGCATGAGCCATCATGGCCGCAAGCTTATCTATCGTATGCAAGCAAAACTTTTCCAGCAAGCCCACTGTCGCGTTTAGGCCGCAACAAGAAAGGTCATCGATGACCCTCAATTTGTTCTGCATGATTCCGAAGCGCATAGCAATCGAGACCATCTCAGGAACCGGCCCTTCCTCAAGCCACACCCAACCTGCGTCAATCTCCTTTTGGGTTTCAACCCAGGTGGATTCTTCAATTTCGGAATTCTGCCTCCTGGACAGCTTTTGCAAGGTTGCTTTGTTCAAGCCCTTCGACAAAACTCCCAACGTCTCGACACTGAATTTGGGCCTTCTGGACCTCGGCACAAACTCACCCGACGCAGGAAGCCAGCCCGACAACTTGAAACCTTTGCATATATCAGAAACAAGGTCAACATCCTCACACCCTGCGGCCCTCATCATCTCTTGGAGAAGCAAGAGCTTCTTTCCTTTAAGTATGGGCCGCAGGTGATCAGGGAGATTTCGGTGAAGTTCCTGCTCCTTTTCCCTGAGGGCACCTGCACGACCAATCCAAAACTTCATTGCATCAATCCTGAAGGCCGCAAGTTCTGCCGGGGGAGCCTCAAAGTTAGCACGTGCACTAACTGTGACGAAAGGCTCAACATGGACTGCCAAGGACCGTGGGTGTCCTGCCGCAATAGCTCTCTCAACAAAGACATCTTCAGAGCACGGTACACCGACTTGCACAAGCTCTGCACAAGCAGGCGGATGCAAAGGGTCCAAGCCCACGATGTTTGTTTTTAGCTTGCCAACTCCTTCGAGGAGACTCTTCAGCGAACCCCACTCACACACGCGTCTCGAGAAGATTCTGGAGCCCTTTGGAAGGGAAGAAAGCACAGCTTCCAACGGCTTGTCATTTTGCACTGGCACAACAAAATCCAACGTAGTGTCAAACTCCCACACAAGCGAAGGCAAGGAGTTTCCCCTGGGTTGAGTGCCCAGATTTATCCTGGCGACATTCGCAGAAGGATCCTGTATTGCCTGTGCAAGCACACGTGGCCCGAAGGACAAGCTGGGATGCGCATGGACGATGCAACCAATGATACGATCGACGAGGAGCGGCGGAAATTCGGGTTCATCTGCTGTGATGAAGCTCACCCGCTTCCTTTTCGAAATGAAAGGTCGCCACGGTTTGTGCTCGTGCGACCCGTCACAGCGACCCGCAAGCATGCCAAAAACGTCCTGTGACGACCAAAGCTGCATCAACTTGGGTCTGTGACCTCCATGCACACAGGCATGGAATTTTACAAAGTGACCCTGCACATGATTTGTCACCTTAGCACAGAAGGAGGTGTCCCAATAACGGCTGTTAGAAGGACTCTCCAGGACTGTCAGGATTCCAAGATCACAAGCCTCACATGCAATGTTTGCAAGCTGATCAAACAGTTGATTTGCACGCTCAACCTGGAGTTTATCACGACCACGCAAAGTCGGCAAGCCATCCGGATGCAACGCCGACCTCAAAGCATTTGGCATCTTCAAATCAAGTTCAGCAGAACCAGGCTTATGCCGTTCACGCATGAAAGATGCGGTGCCCACCGGAGGTGAGATGAAAACACAGATGACGTGATGATACTCAACTCGCAAGAAATCGACAACTGCTTCAGCCTGGGCTGGATCACTCAAATCCATGATGACAACTTGTTCACCAGCCCGCCTTCTAGAGGAATCAACTGCAAAAGGCCGGAAGC